CTCTTCAACACTACGCTCTCTCACCTATCTAATCACTCGCCACGTATAGACCTGCGGCGAGTGATCAGATGATCGGTGGGCGTGCACTGGCCCACCGCGCCAAGATTGAGCCTTAATAGGTCGCCGAGGTCAACTCCTTCGGTGCCAATTGCGCTTCAGTCCGCACCCTTAGGAGGTCCGCGGGTCCCTCAACTAGGTGAATTACTCCTTCTTCGACCTTCATTCTAATCGTGAATTCCTCGTTAGAAATGACTTCCAATCATGACCCAGGGCGGCTTACCCTGTTGGAAGGTCTATTGCAAGCCCAAATTACCAGAGCTGCACCACGGCAGACACGGTGAGAGCTAACCAACTGTGATCCTTTGGCAAATTGATTCACAGTATATCGTTTTTTATTGACAGAAAAATAGAAACAAAAATAAAATAAATGAAATAGTTGCATGTGAAATAGCTCCAGGTTTTTCTATGATGGCAAATTAGTTAGAATCACAAAAGGATCGAAAGAGCGTATCTCGGAAATCGGATAATGCGGGCATTTGACGCGCGCGGTCGCGGGCAGCTGTCGCGGTCAACATCACGGTTAATATATTTATTCTTGCAATTCAGATGACACGTAACTCGTGGTATTCCGAGCAAACAACTCCTGTCCACCCGGGTGTGGACGTTTATCTGAAGAAAAACGCTAATGATATGATCGACGTGATTAATCGTCTGGAAAATCCGATGCGACTATTCGATAAGAAAGGGATACGGTTAAGGAATGCATAAAGAGGTAACCTACCTGATTATTTTTCGTTTGTCGTAGAAATTATTCTTTCCTCAAAAGGAAAATACTAGAAGAAAATTTGTAGGAACGAGCTGATCTACGTCGAACATCGTGTGGCCAAACACTTGGGGAAGCTGTATCAGCGGATCGCAACGCGCTTGCTAAGAATCAGACAAATCTCCTTATGTGTATGATTATGGTAAGATATTATGGTAATTGAGCAAAATTTTACACACATGTGGGGGAGCGGCTCTTCTTTAACTTAGAACTATTTCCCTTTCTCCACTTTTTTCAAAATTTGCACTATTCTTTTTACACTCGTCATTATATTTCCTTTCAAGTTTTCCTTTCAATAGTTCACTTTTTTGGGTTGCAAGAAGCTAGTGAGTACCGTTCAGGTTCAATACGGTATACTGCAACTGCCATCCATTATTGGCCGAAATGATACCGTATGACCAGATGGCGTTCAGGTAAATTCGATTTATCGATTATTTTCTGGTTGCTTTCTATTTCTGACCAAGCCCGATCAAAAATACACTTCAAGGGATTTTTCATTGCGGATCAATATGACACAAGTCTGTACAATCGATGCATATGAAGGTTGTGCAAGGCGATATATCGATTTGACGCGCCCGTCCGCATGGACCGAACCCATTCCCAATGATATTTTGGGCTCGGACGAAATTTCACAGTGTCGAAGGTGAGAGTTCATAGGATCACTGATTAATGATCAACTATCAACATCAACATAACTCAGTTGTGTATAACTCAGTTGGTTTTTTTTCCTGTGAAATGAGTCCGCGTCGCAACAGCGCGCGGCACACTCATCCAGAGGCACGACTAAGAAGGCGATATAAATCAATAAATCAACTCTTTCGAGTCGGATTGTAGCAATACAGTTACAAAAATTGCGGTCCAGTGAAAAGACAACCTTTTCAGCGAAAACCACTACCCGTGCGTCACGACATCATATCCAGGAACAGTGGACCAATACGATCTGCCTCCAGTATATCGTTCGACACAGGTTGGTCAGGTTTCGTTTTAGAGAACGAAAATAGTCCCACTTAGAACCTCATTTATTTTTCATCTGTAAACGGTCAAAAGAACGGAATTTTAATTGAATCAGGTTCTTTTTAATGAGCCTAGCCTGGAATTTAGCCCACATAGCAAGACTACCCATGCTATCAGGGCACTTCGACTCTGGTGATACGCTTATTACCAATATACACTACCGGGAGTGAAGGGGTTAGAGGCATATTCAGCTTGCATCGCTTGAAAACGAAAATATCGAAAACAAGGGAAAATAAAGTAAAAAAAAAACTGAAAATGAACTGCTAGCGAAGGCAAAGAAAAAGTGTGAGGTGGATAGTGCTCCGACGAAGAGACACTAGGCGCCGAGAAGAGGGAACAGACGAGAGAGCATAGCGGTGAGCCAGAGGCACTACTGCTTTGGCCCTGCGTTGCGAATAACGGCTGCATCCCATTTCAGCACAAGCTATAGGGCCACGCACTTTTGAGGACGAGAAAGGCCATTATTACTCTATGCAAATAGCTCTATTTTAGTCACAGGAAGGACTAATTCAGAACTATTAGGTTGTCCCATAATTAGTGAATCACTTTGGGTATTTTTGAATTCAATTTTTTTCTTTTTCATATGGAAGTCTTTGCTCATCCAAACATACACCTCTGTCATCTACAATGTATTGCCTATACATGGAAATTTAGTCGCTGTCTTTCTCTAGAATTCCAGGAGCTATTGATCAAAGAAAGATCGGAAGTCGAGTTTGAGGTCATGTCACTTAGCGTAAAATTTCTTCCTGAAGAAGAATGGTATAAGTCAGACTAGGTTGTCTTTTGCTTGGTACGAGGATAGGGCTTC